TCGTCCTCGTTCCGGATCAGAGTAACTTTAAAATCATCAATAAAGTAGTATTGAACTGAAGAATAAAATTTAATTTAATTATTTACTCAATTAATTTTTGTTATTTGCAAACTTTAATCACAAATTTATCAACTCAACACAGTTTAAAAATTCTTTTAAGCTAAATGAAGATGTTGACTGTTCACTTAAAAAATATTATTTGATTTAAGAAAAATATTTTCTGCTTTCATAATATTCAGCTCTCTTTTATTGAGTAATTTTTATTTGAAATTTATTATAAGATTTATTTAAAGTGTGCCGGTTAAACCAAAAAATTATCAAAAAAAGTTTTAAATTTTTCTAGAAATTAGTTGAAGTAGACATCTTGTTATTTGAAATAGGGGTTTTAATTATTTAGTTTAAACTGATAATATTTTAAGCGGAGAAACTTCTTCTTGAGGCGTTACATGGGTTTCCTTCGGGAAAAAAATGGCCTATTTTCAACAATTTTTTTTTAATAGAAAAAATGAAATATTTTATTCAACCTTTTTACTGTCTTAAAGATACATGTTTAATAAGGGATTTCTGAATTAAAAAAAAAAAAGTATATTACACCCCTTGGAAAGGAAAATAAGAAAAGCCTCAGATCACATGTAATTGTTGGCCGAGGCGAAGCCGAGGTCAACAAACATGTGATCTGAGGTTTTCTTTTTTACTTCCCAAGAGCTGTATAATATTTTTTTGTCCGAGCCCGGGGAAAACGGTTTAGATCTGACCAGATACAATTATATCTGGTCAGATCTAATTATATCTGGTCAGATCTATTTATATCTGGTCAGATATGGGATTGGAGACATAATCAGATATAGACATATCTGATCAGATCTAAACAGATATAACTATATCTGAGTTGATAAATACATTAGAGATGATCAGATCTAAACAGATATAACTATATCTGGGTTGAAAAAAAATCAAACATTAAAAGATTTTATTATATCTGGCTAGATATAACTATATCTGGCCAGATATAACTATATTTGTTAACTATTAATAAATACTTATAAACTATTTTACTAAATATACTTTTCTCCAAAATAAATATTTATTGAATGTTAAAAAATATTTATTAGAAATTAATAAATTAAATAATTGTTTTCGAATAAATTAATTTGTTAATAGTTAATAAATATTTCTATCAGCGTATATTGATAATTAATAATTTGCAAATTTGATAAAAAACTTTCTTCATTACGCATCGATCATGGACACGATTCACATTACTTGTAGTTACTACAAACTCTGCGCTTCGAGTAAGCTTCGTTGGTAAACAGGTAACGAATTAGTCTTTCAAGCATCAGGTCCCAGGTTCGGTTCCCGCGCGCGCCGATTTTTTTTGTTTTTTTTTTTGATGGAAATAATTTTATATAATTGTATATAATTATATATGGCCATTTTTCGTATATAATTATGTATGAGTATATATAATATATAATCTTTTTTACCTGGGTAATTTTAAAATCTGACCAGATCTGATTATATCTGGTCAGATCTCGTCAGATAGAAACAATTTAAAGATCTGGCCAGATCTGTTTATATATGGCCAGATCTAATCCGTTTTTCCCGGGAGGAAGGCGGAAAGCGGCAACTTTGTTTAGCGCAGTGGGACCAAAGTTGCCACTTTCCGCCCAGAGGGCAAAAAAAATATTAAAAACTCTGCTAATGTAACGTCATTTCCGGCGAGCCCTCGGAAAAAAGATGCGTCCGCGTGATCAGCAGAACTCTTAGCAGGATCATCAGAAGTGAAAAAAAAAATGTGTGCTTTAGTTAAGACTTCAAATTAGGTCTTGAACGAAGGAAAAAAAAAATTAAAATTGGATTTTTGGCAGAAATTTTTACAAAAAAATTAAAAATTTGGCTAAAATTTTGCAGCATTTTTTTTTTTAAATAGCTGTAATTGAAAAAAAAAATCATTCGTTCAAAACCTTGTAAATTATATCTCGAAGGCCTGTCTAAAATTTTATCAAGATCGGTTGAGTAGTTCTCGAGATATCTTGGGTACCGCCTTTGAAAACATACACTGAAAAAAAAAATTAACTTGATTCAAGAGAAAAATTCTTGAACCAAGAATATAATTTTGAAGAGGGTAATTGTCTTGAATCAAGACGAAAAATTCTTAAATCAAGTAAAATTTCCTTAAATCAAGAATTTTTCTACTCAAATCAAGGATATTAAGTTCTTCAAAATTATATACTTGATTTAAGAATATTTTTTTTTCTATGTAGTTTTGAGAAAAACGCGTTTAAAGTTTTGACTGACAATATAACAGCGCCTTGAGCGCGCAACTTTTTAAAACTGTATTTTCAAAACTATTATTCGGATCGATTTGAAACTTTAGGATAATATTCTAGAGATGTAGAATTTAATAAGACAAAAAAAATCGATTTTTTGAAACCGTGAAACCCATGTAACCCTTTGAATCAAATATATAAAGTTTAAAAAAAAAGTCGAAATTATTTTCAGTTAACGTGAATTGTTCTTGGTTTAAGAACTTGATTATATTGACTGAAGATAATTTATCTTTGAATCAAGTAACCGCAGTTGTCGATCAGAAATACAGCGATCTTAACCCGAGAAATTAAAAACCAAGGAAATTAATTTTTGGAAAAAAAAAAAAAAAAAAAAAGCAGTTATTATTTACAAAATAATTTCTTTTGGCTCTCCATAATTTCTGTCAGAATTTTTGTTAAAATTTGAAGTTAGAAAAATCAATTAAAAATTTTTTGCTCTGTGAATTCTTTGTTATGTGATCTTTTTACGACATTCCATAATTAGTTGTTTATAAACATCCGAAGTTTTCATCTTTTATTTTTTCGCTGATTAATTTATTTTCTAACTTTTTTTTGTTTGAGTATTTACATAGGTAAGATGTTGTTTTTTTCTTTTTATTATAAAACTACAAAAGAATCGATAGTTTTTTTAATAGCTTTTTTCATTTTCAACAATCTTATCTCGTCGCGCATTCCGGAACTAGATGCCAACGCGCTGAGTCATTAATAATTCCTTCCAGGTCGATGTACAGTCAAATTGAGTACAAATACTTAAAATTGTTTTATTGCTTCCTTGTCTTTCACTCTCAGTGGTGAATTATAATAATAACCTGCAATAAATTGTCTAAGATTAATGTTTTATACAAAACATCACGGTACAATAAGTCTTATAGTAATAAAAAGGTATCTAATATTTTTTTTATTTTTTTATGATTACAAGAAAAAAATTTAAAAAATGCTTTTCACCAAAATAAAAGACATTTAACATCTTATAAAGTTGTTAGTAAGATCCCGCGAATCCTCTTCCGTGCAATTGTAATTTTCTGCGACAAAGTATAACAATACCTTGTTTCTAATAATGAAATCTTGCGACAAAATATAAACACAAGACCTTCCAGAAAATTGTATTCAATTCACAAGAAAAATCTCATTCTTGTTTAAAATTAATGAGACTAGTAGAGAAGAAAAACAAATTAACAATTTACGTCAGAAGAACATCTTTCCGTTGTTTTTTTTTTTAATCTTCTAAGAAGACTTTAAAGAGTTATTACTTACATAAGTATATGCTTAAACTCATAAGTATCGAAGTTGCTGATAAAATAAATCACAAGTTTTTTTATACGCATTTGTTATTGATTTGAATTCCAAGTTAAAGTAAAACTTTCTCTTTATTCTCTTTTTTTATAAAACTTCAAGTATTTATATTGATATGTTTCCTTGTAAATTTTAAACTTTTAAAGTAATCGTCTCAAAAACTTAATTATTTCAAAAAAATTTTCGTCATAATTTTTTTTTCTCATTTGCAAATATTATTTTTTCACAGTGAAATTTATTCGTAATAATTTAAATGTCATAACTTTTAGTTACGTCGATAATTTTTACAAAGTTTTGTCTATTGGTTTACCAGGGATAAAAATTTATTCGTTTTATTTTATAAATTTAACTTTTATAACACTTTACTTTGAAAGTCCTCAATTTTTTATGTCACTCTAGATACTTTTTATATTTTCTTACACGCTTGTGAAAATAAGGAAAAAATTCGAAATCGTTATTTTTTATAATATTTATTATATACCTTGATATTTAATAACTTTTATAATCTTTTAAACAAAAACATAACATTTTATGTTAACATTTTAAATATTATTACAATATAAAATTTATAAAAAAAAAATAAAATAAATAGAACTGCAAAAAATTTTAATTTTCTCAAGCACTTTTATGGTTTGATAAATTTAACATGTATCACTGTGACAAATTTAATATGTATCAATTTTTTTACTCAATTTGTTCCTCAAAGGAAAAAAATACGACAAAAACTTTACAGACGACACTGTTAGAGGGGAATGATAACATAATGAATCTATTTTTTTTTTTTATTACCTCCTCATTTCTTGTTCAGGAGACAAAAAAACTTTCCGTATTATATTTCAAGGTGTCTACATGGTTATTCGGCGGGTTTTAGACTAAAAAAGATAAACTATGAACAACAAAGAAAACTGCGGTCATATATCTCTACCCGCACAAAAAATTCAATATACCCCAAAGCAGTAAAAAAATGATTTACATTCTTCGGATAATTTATCGGAAGTTTTAAAATAATCAATAAATAAAATTGCAAATTGGAATATGGAATCGATCGATTGAAAGGCATGTAACATTTTGCGGAAATCTGAGTGACGTGATTGACATTAAAAAGACGGGAGACACGTTGAAAGAGACGACAAAGGCAAAGGCAAAAAATAAAAGCTTAAATCCGTTGAGATCATCAAGGGGTAAAAGTGTTCAGGCGACCCCTATCAATCATTTTGATTCATGTGAGGTAGGCTTCGTATACTAGGATTATTCTGACGGATATCCGCAAGGAATGATGCTTTCTATATCGCCTGAAGACTTTATTTTTTTTTTTCTTTATAAAGTACTTATTAGATAGCAACCAAAGACTGTGATGAATTTTTACTTTCATTTTTCATGGTACGGCTTAATGTTTCACAAAGCAATCTTTATTTTTTTCAGACCGACTACAACCGACACTTGGAAGAGCTGATTGAAAGGACTGAGAATCTTTTGATTAACGCTTTGAGAATTACACTCGTTAAGCAAAATCATCAAGTATCCGAGCTTTACGAGCAGCTAGAAGGAATAAAACAGCTATCTAATGGTAATTAATTCAACTAATTTTATAGTTTTTAATAAATTCAATATTGTTATCTTCATTGCTTTCTTTAAGCACTAAGTATGACGGTGATACTCTGCATCTGTTAAAAGATCAAATAATTAATTTCGTCATGTTACATCGTATCTAAACAAATAATTAACAAAATTAATTCAATTGATTAAGATATTTATACTAAAGTTATAACTTTATACACTATACCTTTAAAAATATTCAGTTATTTCTTCGTTTTACCGTTTACATTATATTAATTATCGTTCGAAATCACCAGAATGCCGCGAAGCCAAAAGGCGGGCTTTTCAAAAAATATAAATCACTATCTATATTTTGTACTATGATATTTAAAATTAATGTCAATTTTTTAATCTAAATAAATCACTTATTAATTTTTATATTAGATAAATTAACTATTTGTTAAACTCGATTTCGTTTAGTTACTGTTAAATATTAAAACAATATAAATTCTGCACTAAAAATATTCAATTTATTGAATAAATATTTTTCATACAAAAAATGAACTTAAAGTATGCATATTAAGATTTACAAATATTTTTGACATTAAATAATTTTATGTATTAATCTTAACAGAAGAGACTCTCACGACAACAATGGCAATTGAGACTAAAAACTTTTTACACCGTACTGAAGAACTCTTCAGACTAATTTCTCGAATGGAAAAACTGAAAACACTTGAAGCTTTTGAGAAGGTGGAGTTAACATCGATCAATGAGAAACTACAAAATCTATCGAAGCTGGTGAAGCAAGACAACTGTCTCAATGCAGGAGGAAAGTTTGAATGGATCGATAGTGTGCTAGTAAAGGTAAACTTTAGCTCTAAATTGCATTTAGTTAAATTGTTGTTTACTTACTTTACCATCCAGGTTCTAAGTAAATATTTAATGTTTATATTTATTTTTTTCCACAGTGTTTGCAAGATGGTACGTGGCTCTTGATAGATCAAGTAAATCTCTGCAGTCCAGCTGTGCTGGATAGATTAAACGGTTTACTTGAGCCTGGTGGTGTACTTACCATTGGTGAGCGAGGTGTTGATAATGATGGCAATATCCATACAATAAAACCTCACAGTAATTTCCGTCTTTTCTTAACTATGGATTCACGTTATGGAGAAATATCAAGGTAACCTTTTATTTTATTTTTATTGCTTTAAGATAATTCAACCCGAGAGCGTCGCTATTCTCGTATTTTAAAACTTTTTTATTACAATCTCTAAGTATTCATCAATCTTGGCTTTATGACAATTATATAAAAGAGTAACTGTTACCCTGCCGTTTCGTTGGTCGTAAATTAAAATCAAGTAATGATTCATTTTTTGTTAACGATCAAAATTTATTTGCATTAGAAATGTAAAAATTTTTTTACGTTTGTCTTAATCACGTTTCAATAATTCGATTTAACTTCAATAAAATCAGAAAAAGAGGTAGACTATCTCATTAAATAAGACGCCGGATAATTTTTATTATGCTATGAAACTCTACGAAGAATTAGTCGATACTTATAAATAATTTATACCCATATATAGTGAAACTATGAAACTTACAGACTTTGAATTTGAAAAGATTGTTTGTTCCTTATGCTATGTAAGTATCCGTTAACAATAGACCGATTCTACGTATAACTTCTAATGAACTTTTAAGATTTTGAACCAGAACACATAAATCGTGTAATATTTTTTAAAATGACTAACAAGAAAATCAATTATAAATCAGTAATAAATATAAATATAAATATGTGCTCTTTAAATGCAAAAATAGACCATTTTCAGATGCTTGATTGAATTAAAATTATATTCGCCCTTATAAAAAAATTTATAATAAAAATAGCTTAGTAAAATATTTTTAAACACCTCTATAATTCCTGGAGATTAATTTTCATTAAAAATATTGGTGAAAAATATTGACCTAGTATAAGGAATATGCTTCCCAAATACCTAATTAGTAGATTTTTTTTATTTTATACATCAATTATTATGATATAAAATAGACCTTAAAATAGTTTTTATTTCAAGCAAAGGTGTCTTCTACACGTATCAAAAAATTTAATTTTAATCGGATCTGTCTCTCATGAACAGACAGCAATTAAAAAAGTTGACAATATAATATAAGTGGGTCGTCAAAATGTTATTAAATATCAACTTTGTAATAAATTCATTTAAATACAGCCAGATTTATATGCATAGTCATTTAGATAAAATAAAATTATAATTAAAATTATATCTTCTAAGTTTTTCTATAATCATTGAAATTTTTTTTATTCAGTTTTTAAAAGCTTAAAATAGTTTTTTTTTTTTTTTTCATATTATATTTTTATTTATTTTGCTGTAAATTTTTAATGTAAACCTTACCCTTTATAGCCAATATAAAAAATATTTACGCCATAAAAGTAAGTAAAAATAAAAAAAGTATTTTAATATCGGATTATGTTTGTGTTAGAAAAATTTAACGATATATTTTATTATTTTTTATTTATTATTTACTGTACACTTTTTATTAATCGTAAATCCGTATTTGATATTTTACAGAGCAATGAGAAACAGAGGTGTTGAAATATTTTTGCTTGGCCACAAAGAATGTCAAAGTGAAAATGAGCTTGATACAAAATCATTGATGTTCGACTTGGGTTTGACACAAAATAGTCATCAAGAGGCAATGTTAAACATTCACCGTGAAATATTGAGTCAAAAGCTTTTAACAGATAAACTCAGCACTATTCAACTACTGCACTCGGCCTTTCTGATTACTCAGCAAATATTAAGAGGATTTGCTGTGAAAAAAGCATTCACAACAGCCTGTGTGGACGTTTACATAAAATCACGATACATTCACAATTCCAAGATCAAACATCATATATTATCGATTATAAATAATATTATTGATCAGTATAATATTACAGATAATGTTTCACCTACTATTGATCTACATGCTATTACGTGGAATGTACGCGATCTTCAAGATAACGTTCGATTGACAATAATAAATCAGCAAGCTACGTTGTTATTGTCGTTGATTAATAAATATTGCCAAGATGTATCATTGAGTACCTCCACTACGGAATTCCTGAATAAATATCTCAATCCAGATGGAAATAAAAATCTTATTGCCATCGATATCAAGAAAATCATTCCCTATTTACTTCTAACATTCTTTGAAAAATCTTCAACTAAAGATTTTACACTGAGAAGCTCATGGTTACTAGAACAGTTGCGTAATTCACATTCAGATGATTTGATCTCATCTATAGAATGTAAAATAAAAGCAATGACAGAAGAAATTCAACAAACACAAATTGAAAAAAATCTAGAGAGCTCTTTACCTTGGTATCGATGCATATCAGACAACTCTGTAAAATCTAATCAAAATAATGCACAATTATTATCAATAAGACTTTATTTGAAGAGTATGGATATAAAATATCCCCAAACATTATCTGCAGTTGTCAACAAAAACATTATTACGTTAGAAAAATACTCGGACAGAGTATGTTCGAACGATGAGCAGTGTAGCAGTGTAGCACCAATTGCTACGTTTTTTGTACCTTTTCTTACTTTGGTAAACCGATGGATCAATACTTATTTTAAAGATTTATGTGATTGCAGTAATAATAATAAGTACATTGAATTGAGACAAGATCTTCAATGGTTCCGGCGTTTTTACGAGCAAGGCCAGTTAACGTTTATAAATAAATTGCGGCGAGAAAATGAAAAGATAGAAAGTGATCATACAGAAATGTTATTGAAAGTTCATTATCGTTGGCTAAGAAAATTACTAATTAGAACATTTGAAGAATGCGATGATTTAGTAAGAAATGAAAATGAACATACTATTGAATCGCTAAAAGAATTTATGTCTGAATTTGATGATTATCTACGTGATCAACAGTCATTTAAAAAATTAACTAAAAAAGTTAAAGAGCAACTTAATATTCTTCATCCTTTTACATCTGAAGCAATTATTAAATACTACAGAGAACTTGTTTCGAATTCTGAAGATCGTTTCTTGCCTAGAAATACAGAATTTAGTTATCAGCTAAATTTGGTATTTCGTCAATTAGAAGAAACTAAGAATATCAGATTTGAATTGACAAAACTCTGGGAAAATATCTTCAATGATGAATTTAATGAAGAAACGGCGAAAGATGTTATGACTAAAATTGAATTGTTATTAGAGGAGTATCAGTTATTGAGTAGCTTCAAGATAAAAGAATTCACTGAAAAAATTTTATCAACTCATTCAAAGAAAACTTTAATTGAGATGTCATCGAATGTCCAATTATGGCCCGTTTATCAACATACGTTTGTTATTTTCGCACATAAATTACACTGTCAATTAAATGAAGCATTTAACGGTAGTATTACTATTAATAGTTCATTAATAAATAAATTTAACCACCTTTCTTGCGTGCCAGTGAACTTAATAGCCGTGTTATCGACTCTCATAAATAAAAGTGGTGAACGTGAGAACTGCGAACGATTATTGCCGGAGTTATTCAGATACCTCACTCAGTATAAGGGTCGAAATACTTACAACCATTCCAAGTTCATTAATTACTTAATGAGCGGATTTGACGAGGATTTAAATTCTGGAGAATTTATTGAATCGAACGATAAATTTAATTACTGTGACAATTATCCAGTATTAATAAATACTTTATCGGATTTACTTTTATCAAAGAATAGTAAAGAAAATTTTATTGTATCGACGGCTCCAATAGGATTTTATAATACGCACATTCAACAGATAAGTACAATAAATAGTATGCTGTGGCGTAATAGTATATCTTTTAATTCCGATCAATACAATTTAATATTAAACGATTGTAAAGCTTTTAAATGTTATGCTGACATTTATCTCACAGTTATTGATAAAGTTGAAAAAACTTATGATGTATCTAAATTGATAACATATAATGATAAACAAAATTCTCAGGGAAATTGTGAAAATATATATGAAATTTGTTATAAAAATCCTGTTGAGAAAATGAAATCAATTAAAAGTAATTGGGATAATGAATGTAATTACAAGACAGAAGCTTTTGATAGAGGAATGGGATGGGTATACTTAGGATTCCATCAATATTTCCTTTTCAGTCACTTAGGTTTTATTGACCCAGTATTGAAAACTGAATTAAAGCTTAAATATATAAACGATGACATTGAAGATCTTGAGAATTTAATATACGCAAATACATTAGATTCTTATCTACTTGATGATGAAGGTTGGATGGGACATGGAGGCGAATCATCTCGTGTTGCTAGTGCAAAAAAATGTCTTGATATTTTATACGACGTACAAGGTGAATTAGCTAAATCAACAGGTTATCGATCATCGGATGTACGCTTTGTTGATTTATCCAGAAAAATGTCTCGTTTTAGAGATGACATTGGTACAGCCAAAAATATTATCACAAGTTGTGAGAATTTATGTAATATAATAGTAAACAGTATGATGGGTAATGGCTATTTAAATAAATCAAATGAATTTGAATTAACGACGGCCGTTAATGTATTAATCAACCAAAAAAATACATGGCAAAGATTTTATAAGTCTTTAGAAAAGGAATTTTTGCCATATTATCGCGAACTAGTGTCTCCTATTATCAACGGATTGAATAAAATTATTCACGGTGGTAATATTTTAATCAAAGAAGCTAATCGCTTAATTTCACGAGAAAAAACTAGCATTGGTGTCGCCACAAAAAAATTATCAGCTCAAAATTTATTGTACAACTTGGTAAGATTTCCTACTATTGGTACTGATCAAGAAAATTTATTAAAATTAATAGATTTCCATACATCCCAAAACAGCAAAGAATTTATAATGAAATACGTCGGCAAATCAGATAAATCAAAATCTTACTTAGAAGTCTTTCGTGTATTGAAAAGTAGTCTATCAGAGCTTTACAATCATATAACACTTACAAAACAGCTGTCAAAGCCTTTGTGGAATAAACTGAATGAGTTGCTTTCGCAAATTTGCTTAGTATGGAAAAAGCAACAAATGGAATTAGAGAAAGCAGCGGCAGAATCTCAAAGCTTGTACAAAGGAAGCGTCAGTATACATTGTCAAACATTAAGTGACGAAGAGGAAATAAACCAACAGTTACGACAATTATTTCCTATTACTCAAGAGTTTGATGACATTCAGGAAGTAAGGACGCTTGAGGCTCAAACTAATTGTAAAGACTCTTCTAAAACTATTGATTCATTTGTCAATGTAATAACAGATGATGACTTGGAAGAAGTATATAAAATTCACTCTCTAATTGTTAAGTCGTATGCTTCTGCTTCGTGGTTGAAACATTCAGATTTTATCAGATTACCGAGCCGTAATTATATCGATCCATTAATCCAAAGATATCATACATTTGGATTACTTCGTCCTGAAGTAGAACAATCTTTTTCAGCAGACTTGTCTACGAAATTACACACTAGTTTCAATGTACTAGCATCTTTTGCAGTGTCCACTAGTCTAGGAGAAAATTACCACGTTAATGAAAATGATGTGAAAAATAAAAGTTACGACTTCTACAAGAATAGTAATATCGAACAGGTCAAAAAGTGTGTACCGATTCTTGTAGGTTTAACAGAAATCGTTGAAGCTTATCTGGTTGAATGGCCCGGACAACCAACTTTAGAATCAATTCAAATGATAATTACGAGAATAAATAACTTCCCGATTACATCATCTGTATCAAGATTTTTGATGGGACTTGAAATTCTTTTGAGTAAAACACGCGAGTGGAAAGAAATGTCTGCTCGTAAAGGTGATCGATTAGCTGAATATGCATTGTCATTGGAGCAACAAATAAAAGATTGGCGACGTCTTGAACTTGGCTGCTGGAAAGATTGCTTAGACTCGACGTTTAAAAGATTACAAGCTAAAGCGTCTAAATGGTGGTTCTTCCTTTACTCTATTGTAGAATCGTACGTCAATAAAACGTCGTTGAAAGCGGAAATCCCCGAAGACGTCAAAGAAAAATCTGGTGATGATGATGATGATGATAATGAAATTGTAACTGCTAAGAAGTTGATTAAATTATTAGAAATTTTTATGAATCAATCTTCGCTCGTTGAATTTCAAGCTCGGCTTGATTTATTGTTAACATTCCATTCTCATGTATTTCATTTAGATCAAAGTGAAGAGAGAAGTGAGTTATTAGCTATTTTCTGGAATAAGTATAATTATTATCACAGATTTTCAGATGATGTGAGCAAAAAAATAAACCAATTGAAGACAACTGTTGGTAAAGATGTAAAAGATCAAGTAACTATTGCTAATCGGACTAAAATCGATCGTTGGACTGTAGAAGAGTTAGTGAAAAAAGTTCATAGAAAATTACTGGATTGTATTAAAAAATACGAAACTGGATTGAAGGAAAGTGTTGGAGCATGTCTAGCAATTAGATCATCAAATTACTCGTCTGAAGCCGATAAAGGTGAGTGGGATCGTTCGAAAATACGTGACTATTCAATCAATCCCGAAGACTTTATAGTATCTGAAAATAATATTAGTGAAAAATATTCACTGCCATCTAAAGGCTTACGGGCAGACACAATTAAGCACTTCAATGAAGTTAAAGAACGCTGCCGAAGAACGATTTTATCATCAATTTATCCTGGATTACGTGTTGAACTCGAAGAGCATATAGAAGCTCTTATCGGTAATGCGATTAGATTAAAAAACATGGAAGTGAATCGTGAATTGCCAAAAGAAAAACAAAAATCTCACGCAAAGAGTATCCTTCAGACTAAGAAATTAGAGCTTAAACTTTACTTTGATACCCTCAAAAGCTTTGGATTGTCTGACAATAAAGGTAATAGTGATTGGAAAAATAAACCTCATGAAGTTTTAGATATGACTGTTCCACCGTTAGATATACAAAGTACTCTCGAGAGATTTGAAAGTTCTACTGAATCTGATAAACAAATGTTGGCTCATTGGAATGGCAGTGAGAACTATTATTACAAGTCGTGTATTAAATTGAATGCCTTGATAAGCACACTTACTAAAATTCAAACAGATTTGGGTCCAGGGAATATGGAACGATGCAAAGGATATTCAGTTGACATCATAACTAAAGCGCACAAACAGAAAAGAATTCTCAGTAAATCGATAAATATTTATGCAACATTGAGGCAGCAAGTGTCTAATTTAATTAACGTTAATACTGGTAATAAAAAAACAAGTCTTCCGTATCATCAAGATATAGCTGAGTGTGCTACGGAATTAAATGAGTTATTAGCGAGCTTATTAATTGGACTGGAACAGATTGAGCTATATATCCAAGCTTGCCCTCGAGATCTTGTAACAGATGATCGAGTAATTATCTTAGAATCATCCGATCTTCCGCTAATTAATGCGACGAAAGGCGATCAAACTTGGGAATCTGCGAACATTTTAATTAGAGACGCTATTAAATCTATCGGTGATGTATCTACAGTTCACAATAAAATGTTTTCAAGTACGCCTACGGTTACTCTAATAAGAACTCATGGTCATTTTGATTCGTTGAAAAACAGTTGCAAAAGTGTTGAAAAAATTAGTGAAGTTATTACGACACTTGGAAATATGTTTGGTAATGAACAAATAAAGTATCATCCACTTTTAGAGACTATTGAATTTCTCACGAAGCAATCTAAACGGTGGATTAATAAATTTAATGATATAAAAACATTTGACAGTGACCTGACGATTAAAAATGACTCAGTCATCCAAGATGTAAAGACTAAAATAAAGTATCTTGTTGCAATTATTTTGCACGTGGTAAAAAAGAATGAAGAAGCATCGCAAAGTGATTCATCATCTAATGAGTTAACTCACCAAGATAAAAAGAACATTGATGATGAAAACAAAGAAGAAGGAGAAGAAGAAGAAGAAGAAGAAGAAGAACAGTCACTTTTAGAAAATAACGGATTCCGTGAACAATTGATAGAGTCTCTTGAAAAGGATATTAAAAGTTTAGAAATTGAAAAAGTTAATAAAGAGCTTGAAAATATTATTGCCGTAGCCCAAGAATTAAATCCAGAATATATTTCATATTATAATTCATTGCTATTAACATGTTTGCCATTATTAAATCAATATATACTGTTTACACATTTTTATTTGACGGAACAAGTTGCAGCTTTTCGAGTTACGTGTAAACTTTTATACTTACAATTGAATGTATTTTTAGATTTAGCAACAAATGGATTCTGTATGCCTAAAGATTTAGATTTAGAAAATGAAGCCGATGCAAATGGCGCTGACGAGGGCCAATGTAAAGATGGTATGGGATTGGGTGACGGTGAGGGTAAAAAAGATGTTTCTGATAAAATAGAATCAGAGGATCAGTTAGAAGAAGCAAGACCGGCTGGTGAAGAGAAGAATGAAGAAGACAAAGATTGTAAGGAAGAAGATAACGGCATTGATATGAGTGAAAATTTCGATGGTAAATTGCAGGATTTGGAAAAAAATGAAAATGATGAAGAAGATGAGGGGGAGGAAAATGATGACAATGATTTGGAGAAAGAAATGGGTGATACGGAAACAGGAGCTGATCAAATGACTGAAGATATTTGGGGTGATGATACTGATCAGTCAGATACTGAAGATCAGTCTGAAGATACTAATGAACAGGGAAAAGGAGAACAAACTGATGAAAAAGAATTCGGTGCACGAGATGACACTAAGCATCAAGGAGAAGATAAATTAGACAAGAATGCCGAAGAAGAAAAAGAAGAAAAGGATAAACCAGAAATAAACGAGATGAATGAACCTGATATTAATGACGATCAAATAGATCCATATCATGGGAAACATAATCCTCAGCCTGAACCAGAGCCAATGGATTTGCCAGATGATTTAAATTTAGATGGTGAAGATGAGGATAAAGATAATGTTGAAAATGAAGAAAATCCATTTGATATTGACGCGATGAAAGAAAGTATACCGCCTGAAAATAAAGATACTGATGCTGCTGATCAGGAGAAAAGAACTGACGCTGATGAAAATCAGGGTGACGATAGTAGTGATGAAGAAGGAGGTCCAACGGTTGAGGATACTGAAATGAAAGATTTGGATGGTGCTGATCCTGAAGTACCCGAAACTTCTGATCAACAAGTTCCTGATAAAGGAGACGAAAAAATGGAAGATGATAATCCAGACAAAGAAACTGAAGAAGAAAAAGGTGAAAGAGCTGTACCTAGTACAGATGATGGCAGTAAAGAAACTGATACCGCTGATCAGCTTGAAAATAAAGTTGAAGGTTCGCGTGATAAAGCTGCTAATGATCAAAATTTGGAGAGTCAAAAAGATACAGCCCCTGTGGAAGAAAACAGTCAAGATGATGGCAATGACAAAGGAACTGGTCAAGCGCAATCTAATCAACAAAATGATGGACACTTTGGTGGTATTGCTGAGAAAAATACAACTGTTGAAAAACGGCAAGAAGAACAAAATCTTAGAGAAAAAAGAAAGAATCCCGGAGAAAGTGATGAAAATCGCGCTTTGATTGATAAAGCACAGCCCAATAAAAAGAAACAGAGAATTATTAATACTCGAGAGGAATTGGAAAATGACAATGATGATGCTGAAGGTGCAGAAAATGAAGAAAACGGTGGTATAGATATGTGTCAACACGTGAAAAATACTGAAAAATTCGATGACTATGCAACCGATGCCGCTACTGAAGAACAAGCCAAGAAGCAAACAATTGCAGATGAAGAAGAAGAACCAGATGCGCGTAAAGAAGAATCGATGGACGTTGATATGCAAGAAGATAAGGAAGAAGTAATTGAAGAAGATGTAAAAAAAATTGACGCTGAGCCTACTTCAAAGACTGACAAAGACAAAACTAAATCTGATTCGAAGAATAATAGAGAAGATATCTCTAACGCCGAAAGTAAACTGGATGTTGAAGGTGATATTGTGCCCACGATTACAGTACCACAAGCAATAGAATCAGCTTTCTATACAAATCTTAAAGAAGATAATTTTATTGATTTAACGCAAGAAGACGAAATTATACAGAAAAAGACTATTAAACGTTGGATTCATAAACCATCTTCTGAGGAAGCATTAGCGACGTGGAATAGTGTAAGTTCACGAACAGAAACAGCGGCCAGAGATTTATCTGAAAAATTGCGGTTGGTGCTTGAACCTACTCAAGCAACTAGATTAAAGGGCGATTACCGAACTGGTAAGAGGATAAATATGCGTAAAATAATTCCTTATATTGCGAGTCAATTTAGAAAAGACAAGATTTGGTTAAGACGAACGAAACCATCAAAGAGGAATTATCAAATTTTATTGGCATTGGATGACAGCAGTAGTATGAAAGACAATTTATCGCATGAATTAACCTTCGAATCTCTCTCATTGATCAGCAAAGCTATGGAGTATCTAGAAGTTGGAGATCTTGGTGTTGTTAGCTTTGGAGAAAGAGTTGAAGTTCTTCATGCATTAGGTAAACCGTTTAATGAAGAAAGTGGATCGAGACTCATTGAAGAAATGAGCTTTGAGCAAAAGAAAACTAATATTGGTGAAATGATCAATGCTACTGTTGATATGTTTGAAGAACAAGGGGGTTCTACTGATAGCGCTAAGCTTCTTATCATACTGTCAGATGGACGTATTAATGAAAGTGAAGAAAAACTTAATCTTGCTGTTAGGAGAGCTCAACTCGCTAATATCTTCATAGTTTACATAATTATTGAAACACCGGAAAAGAAAGTAAGTTTAATTAACTAATTTTATCAATTTAATTAATTAAATAATGTTTTTTTTTTTTTATTAATAATATTTTTGTTTATTTTTCAGCATTCAGTCTTGGACATCACCAAAGTTATAAAGTTAGAAGATGGGGTAACTTATAAATTATGTTCTTACATGGATAGTTTTCCATTTAAATTTTACATGGTACTTCGAAATATTAGTTCTCTGCCAGGAATTTTGAGTGATGCTTTGAGACAATGGTTTGAAATTGTCGGGAAAATAGATGCGTAATTTTATTTCTTAATTAATAGTAGTTTTTTTATATTGATAAAAAAATATTTTTTGTGTTAGTTAATATTATAACACTACCATTGTATGAAAAATTGTAAAAATATATACTTTGTAAAAAAAAAAAAAACATGTTGACATTTTTTTCAACATTAACCTCCTGTTTCCTAATCCTAAATTATTTTTTATGTATAGTCTTAGAATTTTAATCATACAAGGGAAATTAATTTCTTCATTATGTTGATGAGTATGATATGATTAAGTTTTAAAAAATACTTAAAAATTTATTATTTTGAACAATTTTATTATTTTCATTATTAATTAATTAATCTTGTTACAATTTAAAATTATAATTAGATCAATAGCAACAAAACTGTTGAACTTTAAATGTATCAAAATATTTTACTGGTAACTATAAATAATGTTAATGAATTAATATATAAACTTATTTCTATAACGATAATTATAAATTTTAAGTATTCGTTTAACGAAACTCATAATTTCATGTAAACTAGTTAAAAAAAAAAAAAAATTAAAGACTGTCTAACTCTGTTTTAACAAAAAAGTAAAAAATTTAGTATAAACGTTTGTTACATTCTTGAATAACAGATAATATAATATCCACATCTACCTGGAAAAAAAAAATCAAATTTAAATCATTAAAATAAAAAAAATTATAATTTCACCTATCACAAATATAAAAACTTACTTCTTGTTATCAATAAACAGCAGAGCACAATGACTGAGGCCAAAACGCTCAAGTCATTGACTCTTTGATGTGGACTGTCCATCTTCATCACGTTCGTTGCATTTCGGTCGTTTATCAGGGTGGATGAAGATTCCTGACAACTCCAGTCCATGGGCTAACAATTTTCCCAACAAGCCTCCCAACAGCAGCCCGAACGTAACTCCAAAAAACACCCCAATATACAAATATGGTTTAACTGTGGGCTTTGGTGGAATTCCTCCAGTTTTATTATATTTTGGCATCTTGTTAACTTGATAATTTCGACTAACGATTCTAGTTTTAGAGTTAATAACTCTGCAAAAAATTTGTTTTGTCACCGACATTTTTAGAATAGCACTTAGAAACTCAATATGATAAATCCTTAATTCAATGGATGTCTCTCTAAATGAATCGTTTGATTAAGGTAGTATTACCGTTACCACAAGAGTCAAATCCCAGAATCTAACTTTATTTAATTAACGTAGTAGATTTCCCTATAATGAGCTTAGAAAATGCTAAAGCTAGAATAATAAAGATAGAGCGACGAACTCTGAGAGAGGTAGACAAACCTTAATTTATCATTGTTTATTCTTTATACTATGTTTGTACATCTGCATACTTGTCAATATTCTATAATACAAATCATATCTCAATGTATTAAAACTAATAGTACTAATCTCAATAATTTATTATAAAGTAAGTATAGTTAACAGGTTTATTATTCATAAGTGAAAATAGAAGATAGTAATGTACAATAAGTGCTGTAGTTTCTTGTATTGAAGCAAGCTAAAATAATAAGGTAATGATTTGACAATTAAATTTAACATTATTGATTGTTTATAAATATTAATTACTTTTAGTTTTTGATATTTATTAAAATTAAATTTATTAATAATCCATTGAGAATTACATAATATATTTTTAAAAATTAATTTAGTGTGTGTTTTTTGTCAATTATTATCAAGATAATGGAATGGCCTCAAGCAACCGGTCATTCATTAGGATCACTTGATTATGATACCGGTAATCATCATGACCAATCTCATACAAGTAAAGATCTTTGTAGTGGAATGACATCCATATTTGATGAAAAGATTAAGTTATCAAATATTTTTATAACACCTCTAGATCAGCCTGAAAATACATCATTGAAAATGTCTGGTGCTAATAAAGTATTCAAAAGATCATCAACATTAATACTGGAAGATAGCGATGAGTATCAGATGAGTATGAGCTGTAACAATTTATTGAATTCGAGTGACGATCCAGACCCAAATACATCTACTCCTGAACGTGAAAAACAATCAGATAGGTACGTTTTTTAAAAGTAATTCTTAAATATATTAGTTTGATTGTTTCACCAGTAAATTGGTAACTATGGTTTATTAAATCAATTGTTTAGATACAAAATTCTGCGACCGTCCAAGTTAACAATTAATGAGTCAATTGACGAAGATACTGGCGATTTTGAGACAGTTCAATACAGTCCAGTAAAATCTCCATTCCCGTCTGATTCACCTAATAATTCATCGTTGGGCTTAGATGATACTCTTCTTGCATCTTCATTTGAGTCTCCACCTAGACCTGCTTTATTTAATCAACGAGAAAAAAAGTTGATGAATTTACTTGGGCGTTTTGGCCTCAGTCATTTTACTCTGCTGTTTATTGAACAAGAAGTAAGTTTTTATATTTATGGTAGGTGAAATTATAATTTTTTTTCTTTTAATTATTTAAATTTGATTTTTTTTTTTCCAGGTAGATGTGGATTTGTTCTTAACACTTACTAATAATGATCTTAAGGAAATTGGAATACAAAGAAAAACTGATCGTAATATTATATTATCTGTTATTCAAGAATGTAAAAAACGTTTATACTAAATTTTTTGCTTTTGTTAAAACACAGTTAGACTTAGTCTTTTTTTTTTTTTTTTTTTTTCTTTTTTTTCCAACTAGTTTACATGAAATTATGAGTTTCGTTAACCGAATACTTGAAATTTATAATTATTGTTATAGAAATAAGTTTATATATTAATTCATTAACATTATTTATAGTTACCAGTAAAATATATTGATACATTTAAAGTTCAACAGTTTTGTTGCTATTGATCTAATTATAATTTTAAATTGTAACAAGAATAATTAATTAATAATGAAAATAATAAAATTGTTAAAAATTATAAATGTACGTAATTTAGATCTTTTTCAATTTCAACGGTGGTTCAATATTTTCTTCATTTGTAATGAACAGCTTTTTCTTTTCGCTTATTTGAGTGGAATTTACTGAAACGGTATTATTGTTATTGTCAAAATACTGAGGACGTTTAAAACATGAAAAAACACTAGCAGCTTGTCTCATCCGTGCTTCCTTAGAATCGTCAGTAAAAAATCTTGAAGCATTTTTAAAAATATTAATTCGTGGTCGTTGAGTTTGAGTTATTGGCTGATAAAGTTGCTCAATATTTTTTAAATTATCATAATTCAACGGGCGCGCCTCGACTGGCTTTCTTAAAAGACTTTTTGTTGGAGACATTGAATTTGTTAATTGTCTGTTGTTTGCAATTGTAGCTGATTTTGGTTCTGAATATTTAACATCTGAAGCTTCCTCATTGATTTTTAGTTCTGTTAAGGTTGACTTTGTATCAGATTTTGATGCTATATTGCAGTCTTTCAATAAAGTTGGAGCAGAAAGCTTTCTAGATTTCACGAGACAGGAATGTTCTTGCTGATTCACTGGAGTTTTCATTTCAGTTGTAGTTTCATCGACTTGATGAGTGATCTGCATTAAATTTTGGTCAATTAACTTATCAATGCACATCTTTGGCATAGATGTTGTTAAATGTGTCATAAAATTTTTTACAACTGCTTCAGCGCCTGCACCGTAAGAATACTGTTGCAAACCTGATCTTATACAAATATCCGGATAAATAAATCGATCATTTGGTGTGAGAGATGGAAACTTAATGTCATAGAATAAAATTCCCTCAGATGTTTTTGGTAATCTGTATCCATACTAAATTATAGAAAATATAATTATTAACATAGTTTGATTATAGTTGAAGTAAATATCGAATAAACTTACCATATTTTTCCAAAAACGTCTCATTTCTGTCCAATTCTGATACGGACATGTCGATGGAATGTTTTTCATTATTCTTAAAACTTTTCCAAGTTTCAAACTACAATAAAATAATAGTTTAATTATTTCCCATTACTTATTACATTAGTCTTATTTACAATTTTGGATTGCTCTGATAAAATACCTTGGCAAAACAGCAACTCGTTCATTACCAAAAAGACTCACATCAATTACTCCATTTGGGTCAGCTAAAAAATCTGATATGACTGAATGAGGAATACAAAAATCATTAAGTCTTAATGAGGGCAGCTTTGCTTTTACAGGAGTTAATATGATTGCAATTTTATCAACGTCTGATCTTTCAGGAGTGATTAAATTAATAATAGCTTGTACAGCTGTAGAACGCTCAGTACTTTTCCAAAAATCATCTCCTTGAAAATAAAGTGTAGCTACTTTATTCCACTCTGGTGATAAATAAAAATCGATCGTATATCTAATACAGGTGATGTATGCTCGAGCTGTGACTGGTTGTGGTTCCGATGCCTGTAAAAATATTTTATTAATTTTTTCAATTATTAATTTATTTAATTATCGCTAATAAACTAATAATTGAAATTATATTATAAGTATAATTTACATGAAGGTTTAATTTTTTAATAATATTGGTTAACGTGTCACTTTTGTAGAAATCATTAGTTACAATGATATAAAAAGAAGTATTGCTTCGGGGAATCGGAGATCCAACTATAAAATTATCTTTCAGTAAGTATATAAGCAATCTGTAAATTGTAATCGGGTTATTTAAATTTTTATGAAATTAAAATATATTAAACGTGAAATAAAACTATAATTACTTAATTTATTATTATTATTATTATTATTATTATTATTATTTATTGCCAGGATAATTTACATACATTTTCAAGTGCCAATACAAATGATATCAATATATAAATACCTGCATTTTAATTTTTGCCAGTGCCATGATGATTTAGCTGATGAAAGTTTTATGTCATCGCAATCAACGGTGCATACGATACAACATAATGATTTTCTAGCTGTTACCGGAATTACGAATTCGTTTTCATCCATTTTTTTACTAATTAATTTTACTACTCAATAAAAAAGGATTGTTATCAATTATTAGTTAACTAAATTAATTAATGTAAATTTGAATAATATAATAAGCTGTTTCGAGAGTGGCGCCGCTAAAAATGACTTACTGTTCCAAATTTTTCATTAACGGATAGATTTTATTGGTTGATACAGTTAAAATCCTATTGGCCAATTTAAACAATAAGACTGAATGTAGCAGAGTTAAGATAAATTTTTAATTGTAAAGAAATTAATTAAATCATTAAAAAAAAAAAAGAAATTTTTTTTTCTTTAATTTACACATTGACTTTTGTTTTTAATCTGTTGAAATTTTATTTTTTTTTTCTGAAATTCCAAAAGTAATAAATGTAAGCTACATTCACTCTTATTTAAAAAAGTATATTATTCTGATTCGTGCTTTATTAAAAAAATACATAAACTTTTCGACCAATAGTTTTTATTTTTAGATTTACGCGCTAAATTCAAAAAAGACCATTCGGTATCTAAATTTTTTGAGTTTTCGTGTGGTTAACTTGAAACAATCATTAAAAAATTAAAAATTACTGCTTAATACAAAAGTGAAAAATGTTACTTGAAGCTTTCCTTATATTGATCATGAAAATCGACATTTTATTAGAGTTTCTAGTAACTTTACAACGAAATATTTTCTATAATTTTTTATTAATTATAATTTAACTAATAATGTATTATTTCAAAAACTTTTAATTTAGACATTATAGATTTAAAGCGCATTAAAATTTCAGATCATTTTTCATCGGTACTTTTGTAAAATGACAATAGCAAAAATTGATAAAGTAATTTTTTCGCCAAAATCATTGCATCATTCTTTATATCTTTAAAATATTTCGAGAAAATATCTTTTTTTATCTCAGTACCAATACTTGCGCTAGCACTTTCTAAAAAAATTATAATTTATCAGCATTCACAAGTAAACAAGCTCCATGAATAGGCTCGGTTCCATCCTCAGCATTGACATCGGTATGAAAATCTTGAACCAGTAATTTTACAACTAAAGAACTGTAAAGCCAGCGAAAGGTCCAGTCATTGTTATAGGAACATTAATAAATTGTATATTTAAAAAAAAATTAATATTCTTCAAAATAACACTAATATCATTCAATTGAATGCCCATCAAGATTTAATGCACAATTGAAGATGCTTTATTAGTCTGGTGAACGATGGCTTCATTATAGTCTCAGTCCTCGTGTCTACAATTCTAAGGTTGTCACAAGTGATCTTCGAACTTAACTTATTCAAATCCTAATATAATCCTCCTATAATAAAATTGAGATGAAATATATGTGGCATCAAACTATTCGTAACGTGATTGGTCGAATATATCATAAGCATGAAAATATATGCAAACTCTATAGTCAAGGCGCGCGCTTGCGCGCGAAAATTAAATTCTAGTCCCATAATAAAATTGAGATGAAATGTATGTGAAACCAATCTATTCGTGATGTGATTGGTTGAAAATATTTATTCTCATTCTGATTGGTTGAAAGTGAATATAATATACATAAACGACACATAAATATATCATGACAATAAATATGAGGCGCGCGCTTGCGCGCGAAAATTAAATTCTAGTCTTAATATTAAAATAGAGATGAAATGTATGTGAAATCAATTTATTCGTGATGTGATTGGTCGAATACATCATAAGCATGAATATATATGTAAACTCTATATTCAGGTAGTACTACCGTTACCACAAGTGTCAAATCCCAAAACCTAACCTTATTTGATTAACGTAATAGATTTCCCTATACTAAATTACGTTGGAGAGAGAGAGACAGAGATAAATTTTGAATGTTTTTTATTAATAAATATTCTTACATTCTTGGAAACCATACTGATTGTTACTAAATATGTTCTAGATGTTATTTCCTCTCGTTGTGTTGATTTTTATAAGAATCTTAACGTCCAGTTTTGTGAAATAAAATAGTCTATGATTCTCCATAAGGATCAATGGTAAAAGCAAAAATATGTAGATATTAATATCTTTTTTTCAGGACTTGCTCGGCTTCCAAAAATTTTACTGCTTAATTATGATATTATAAAGTGCCAATATGCCAAATTTCATTAAATTCTGAACGTCAAATCTAAAACCGGTAGTACTACCTTCAGGAACACGCTTGCACGTGCAAATTAATGTTAATGTTATGTGAAGAATTTTTCTTTACATATTTATTAATTATAAAAAAATCGAGTGTGATTTTATTTAAATTTTAACGATTGTAAAAGACAATTCGAGTACGATCACTGTGTCTCGTTCGACTCTTGCAAGAGGCCCCGAGAAATTCCTGTAATTAGTCTGGGACCCAGGTACATTAAAGAGATTAAATAGATGAATGGGAGTTTTGTTATACACGTAAACAAACTCACTTATACTTAAAATAAGAAATATTTAAGTAATGACAAAGAACATTAGATAAAAAGATTTGTTTTAAACCAATAGATTTTAGAGTAACTTTATGACAGAATTCGATTGTTGAGACAAATATCGAAATTAATTACAATAATGCTCCTTTTGAAATAATTTTCAGATAATAAAAATTAAATATTAAATGAGAAATAAACTTTACAAATATGAAACTAATAAAAAAATAGAACTTGAAAGTTAAACAATTTTAAATAAACAAATATTATACAATGAAATTCTAAAATAATACAACCAATTTATAAAATGATAAAACAGAAATATTTCTACAAATAAATAATTGAATTCAAAAAACGTAAGAGATGTTAGTTTCGAGTATATATTTATTCATACGATTTAAATAAATAAATTAATACTAAACAGTACAAACGTATGTCTTTGTCTATGCGTAAATGCGCTTACGTATACACAAACACATAGATGAATAATAGAATATAAGAGTAAGTGAAAAAATTATTTTGCACTCTGACCCAAGTAGAGGGAACTCATGCAACATTTGTAGACAAATTTAAGAGAGAAAGGGTAAGGGCCCAAAAAAGTGGACAAATGATTGGACATTTGTTTCCTCCAATGAGTGGAAATTAGTAACGCCCTAAAATTCGATACCTCATAATTGTCACCAAAAAATCTTTTTCGTTGTTCTGACGTCCTAGTGTTAACATTGTCCAAAGTTTTAATAAGTCTTAGGACCACGTGTAAAATTTACCGTATAGAGAATAAAACATTGTAAAAGTAAATTGTAAAGTGAATTTAAGTTCCGTAAAGAATAAATTTGAACATATCAACGAATAATATCAACAAATCAGGTACAATTTGAATTATTAATATTTGTAATATCGAAAATTCGTTACATGAAGGAAAATGTTAACCTTCAATCTTTGTGTAATAATTTTAATTTAACTAATACTATTAATAATATTGCTAATAATATTAATTTTGAATTTGAATAATATACAATGTACATATTAAAATTATTCAACTAGATCAATTTATTCAAACGAACCTATCATTCTCAATAAATTAAACCTCAGAAGCTCCCGGTCTATTAGCTTAATACGCTACGGTCGAGTACTTAAACATTTAAATATTTTAAATGTAAAATTGATTAATTACCCTAAATTATTTTTTTTTACATAACAGTAAAATACGACCAAGAGTAAAACTTTAAAATTTTCACTATTGCCGTGTATTAAAATTAGCTTAACGCTGTTACTTCTGGAATAAAAATAATAAGTGTTGGATATATATAGAAAATTTGATTGTAATAAGTAGTTCTTTGTTCACACTTATTTATTTTTGAAAAGGAATTAATTGATTTTATTTCTCAGATTCGATAAAAATAATTGAAAGAATGTCGGTGCAAAGTCGATGCTTGAAAATCTGCAAAAATAGAATTTTAACTCAATTGTCTGCGAATTCCCGTCACAAACTTCAGAGTAAAACTTACAAAAGCCAAGATCAAGTGATTCAAGTACGAGAATTTCGTAATTTTGGATATGTAATCAACAGCAATTTGTTTAAAACTAGAATTATCATGCTTGGGATCCTAGGATTTGGTATTACGGCACCTTACATCAACTGGAAATGGTTTGTATTAAATAATAAATTTTTCATGTTATCGTACTTGATATTTTTAGCAATTAACCTTGAAATTATACATGATACTGAATTTAACAGGCATTTAACAATTTTTTAGATTTTTAGAAAAATAGAATTATAGTAAAAAAAATTTAGCAAAAAAATTCCACATAGAATTTAAAAAAAGTTAACAGTGTCAATTTTTTTACATAAATTTTTTGTTATAATTGATTCTTAATAAAAATTCCAAGAACATTCGAATGTTTGCTAATTTCATAATATTAAAGTTAGCCGACGTTTATATTTTTAACTTTCCGCTAAGAAAATCAATGATTTTCGAAAAATCGGGATAGGAAGTTATTGTTTTTACCCCGTTTTGTAAAAATCGAGGTTTCGACAGATCTCGACGTTTGGAAGCCCTAAGAAGCTTTCCTGACTATTTTTACGATGATGTCCGTACGTCTGTGTGTGTGTGTGTGTGTGTGTTTGTTTTTTTTCCCCCTTTAGGGGGGGGGGAATCCTTTTTACGGATTCTAGGCATAGTTATTGGCCTGGATATGTGGCGACTCGACGCAGCGTCATACTAAAACTCGACGCTAACGCCCCTACCCACTAAACCCTAAACCCCTTTCCTCTTTCCTCTAATCCCTCATGGAAACCGCCGTCAGGCATTACTTCGTGAGGGGAGGATCTAGCTACTGCTCTTCCTTCTGGTGGCTAAGGTGTTAACTACCTTCCTTCTATACTCTGCTATTTGCTCTTCTTCTTTCGGTGGAACGCAAGCCTTTAAGGACTTCTGTTGCAAACGTGTTGGTAGCGTTCCAGGCAGCTTCAGATGACAACATTGCTTCCACTAGTGAATCTGGTGGCAATCTCTAGTTCAGGATCCTCTCCAGCTCTTCACGCTGTGGCTCGAAACGAGGACATACAAAGAAGACCTGCTCCGCATCTTCAGCAACTCCTTGGCAGGTCGGGCACACTGAAGAGTCATCGTGCTTGAAGCGGTGTAAATACTCTCGGAAACACCCATGTCCCGACAACATCTGCAACATAAGATAGTAATTGACCTCACCGTGATTCCGGTTAAGCCAAATATCGATCCGAGGTATGAGACGGTGCGTCCACCTACCCTTCTCTGCAGCATCCCATTGTAATTGCCATCGGCCTATGCTATTCTGCCGTTCTTCAATTCTAAGTTCTTCAGGACTCAGTACAGTTGACCTTTTTCGTTGGTAAAGGGCCCGTCTTTCCTCTGCTAGAATTCTAAGAGGTAGGGTTCCAGCAATGACGCACACTGCTTCTTCTGATATAGTGCGGAAGGCACTAGCTACTCGTAGGGCACTCAATCGGTATATTGGTCCAGCTTTTCTCCATGATTCTGGGGTTTCCAGTGCATCAGCCCAAATGGATATTCCGTAAGTAAGCACTGATGTGACTACTGATGACAATAATAGCCTCCTGCTCTGCATTGAGCCTCCGATGTTAGGCATCAGCCGTGCGAGACTAGCCCTCACTACTGACGCTTTAGCACTGACGTGTTCCACCTACTGCTTGAAGTTGAGTCGAGCATCCAGCATCACTCCCAGATAACGAATAAATGGTTGTGATGTTATTTCTTGTTCTCCGACTCTCAACTTAATAGTTTCTACCGTTTTTCTGCTGGTGATGAGCACTGCCTCGGTTTTATGCTTGGCAAGTTGCAAGTTCATCATGTCCATCCACAAATTGACTCGTCTAAATGTAATATCAAATGCCAGTTCTATCTCTTCGACGTGCTTTCGACTATGTACTGCAAGACAAACTCTATATGAAGTTATTAAATCTAGGATAGAGCACGAAGTACATTAGATTTTTCAAGAGCTTTTATGATAAAGTGGTCGTGTGCATTAAAAAGGACTCACAGTATTCAGAGCCTATAGAAATCACCGCAGGCGTCTTGAAGGGGGAGATACTTAGCTCTTAAATTTTTCTTATTTACCTTATTTATCTCTGACTTGATTACCGTCTTCAAAGAGAGTGACTGGATGGATTCAGCCTCGAAGGTTCAAGGGATATCTAAATGCTGCTGTATGCCGATTACATCGCTTTACTAGCCAGAAATGCAGCTGATTTCAAAAACGAACTCCGTCTGCTTGAAAAGTACTGTTCAGACAATGGTCTTGTTGTAAATGTCCGGAAGTCTAAAGTAATGGCTTGCCATACATCTTGCAGAATTAGAAAAGTGGATAAAAACTTCTAGTACTGTGGAAACGAACTGGAAGTCTTAAAGTCTTACGTCTACTTAGGCGTCCCTTTTAGTAGTAATCTTCGAGGAGACTTGGCGGCTTCAGAATTCTTAAAAAAAGAACGACGAGCAGCGTGTACTGTACTCTCTATTCTTGCTAATCTAAAAGCTAGCTCCTGGCTTGTTAAGAAAAAAGATTACACTACTTAAGTCAACACTACTTTACCTCGTACACATTTGGGGACTTGGACCTGAATACCACGAAAAGCTGCAAATTGCCAACCTCTAATTTTTTTAGAAGACTCTTCTATCTTCCATGAACTACGCCTCATTTTGTGCTCCGTCTATAACTGAAAATTCACTACATCTCAATCGGTATTCTCAACTAAGCCTGAAACTGGATAATTAAAATTTTAGAGAAACCAAATACTCGTCTTCCAAAAAGTTGTTTTCTGCCCTTGACGGAGCTAAATCCAAGTCATGAACATCTGAACCGGATAAAACAACTCAAAGTTATGCTCAGTCAAATTCAAGGAGAGTTTGCTCTCGAAAATTTAACTGTGGAGTATTGGAAGAAGAATTAAGCCAGGTCATTTGATAAATACAGGCCTTTCGTGATTTAACAAAGATTTAAATAGATATGCTGAAACTCGCTCTTGCCAAGTGGCTTTACCCCGGACTTGCTACGATTCAGTTTCCGATTACCTGCACAATGGCTCACACCAGCTAATTACCCTGAAAATCTAACTCATACTGGCAAACTTCTTCTCATGTAAACTTATAGTGAATGGAAGATCACTAAATCTAAGGCCTAGACTCCAGTGTCGCTACTACTCCAACCTTGAAGGGGAGACAATTGCTCACTTCTTATTAAATTGCCCAAGATTTACAACACCTCGACAACATTTTTTCCAACCACAGGCCGACGCTAGTGAAATGTTGAACATTCTAATTCTCCTTGTTGATCATTCACCCAGCCGCTCCCAAAAATACGTGAAAAAATATTCTGATCAGACTTGATATGTCCTGACATGGCAATATCAAAATTTTTGATATAATCATATCAGGCCTGATATAATCTGATATGTCCATGTATAATTTTTGATAGGTCCTGATATAACCTGATATGACCTGATAGGCAAATTGGCCATATCAGGCCTGATAAAGCTTGATCAGGCTTGATATGGCTTGATCTGGTTTGATATAATTTGATCTGGACTGACATAATTTAATATATCTATAGATAATTTATTGATATATTCTAATATGGCTTGATATAATTTGATATGCCCGTTTTCTAATTTTTTGATATGTTCTGATACAATTTTATCAAGC